GATGGGGAAGTCGATTCTGTATTTGTGTTACTCTTTCGTGCGATGTCCTAATCTGTAATCCTTATTTGTATACACATAGCGCATAAACTACGATCCATTATGGATCTCTTCGCATGACAAGCGACGCTGGAACCGTCGCCGTATTTTTCCAAACGGTCACCGAGCGCTCAAACAGCCGCCTGGTCTCCGCAGGTGTCGCCTCAATTGCCACCAAGCCTTCGTATCGTAGCTCGCCAGTTTAGTACCACTGAATGTGAATCTGGCCAGTCCCAATGCTACCAATAAGGACGGCCAACATATAGCCGCCCCAAGAATACTCGGTATGAACATAGTCGGGTCTTTGGCACCTCGACGTCTCTCCGTGTCACGCTCGTAGATTGCGCAGCTTGAACGTGTCACGTCCATGTCCGCTGACGGTGTTTCTCGTCTTTAACCAAAACTCTACACCCCACTACCGTCTTACCGCGCACTAGACGCCTAGGCGCTCAAAACAAGGGAATCTTATAAAAAACTAAAATCTCAAACCTCAATTTGAAAGCATGGATTAATAGAACGAACACATCTTGAGAGGTCGCACAAAAAATTAACGGGCCATGTGCTGCCTGCTTGCCATGTGATTCTTGCTCAAATGCTCACGTCCAGCCATCCAACAAACACAATGGTTGGCTACAACACGAAGCGTGCTTCGAAGTGAGGTCCACGAGTAACATTTTCGGCTCTACAGCGTCAGTAGCATGCAGACAGAGAAGAAGAGAAACAGCTACAGCCTCCAGTTCAAATTGAACGTGGCCAGCGAGTACAAGCCCAATACAGTTGGCCATGGATATCATGCTCTCGCCAAAAAGCATCATGTGACGTATTAAATGGTGAGGCAGTGGTGCAAGCTGCGTGAAACGCTGCAACACGCGTCGAAGGACCGTCGAATCTGTACACGCTCATTACGCAGAATTCCTGGTGCAGGTCGCAAACCACACTATCATCAGCTTGAGCAGGAACTCCACGCATGGGTATCCTTTCGAAACAAGAGGGTTTGCGAGTAAAAGACAAATACATCCAGCTACAAGCCCTCAACATCAACCGTGCTTTGATAGAGCGTGGAAGTCCACCGAATGAGTTTCGTGCTTCTTCTGGGTGGTTGGACCGTTTCAAGGAGCGCTACAATCTTGTTTCGCGACGGCAAACGACCACCAGAACACTTCCCGATGACGCTGCAGAGACGTGCATGAAGTTCATAAGGCAAGCACACCAACTGATTGAAGAGCACGACATCCTTCCGTGCAATGTGATCAATATGGACCAGGTTCCCAGATATTTTGAAACAGAACCCAAAGTCTACCATCACAACCCGTGGCTCACGAGAAGTGCTTTTGCGGAAAGGGCGGCAGCAGTCACAAACGGTTCACTGCAACATTTTCAATCACTGGCGACGGACAGATTTTAGCGCCTCACTTACTCTTCTCCAAACTGAAAAGGAGGCCATCATGTCCACCTGGTGTCTTGGTAGACGTGAACCCACTGGAATGTGGAATGATGACATCCTTCTCAGGCATGCGCAAGACGTGATATGCAGCAGGAAGGAGACTTAACTTTATCGGCAAACCGTTTTGTATATCATTGACTCGTATGCAGCCCACGTCAAGATGTTCAACGAGAAACTGCTCGAGCGGTACAACGTGTTCGTGTTGTTAGTACCTCCAAATCTCACGAACCTTCTACAGCCACTTGATGTTGCAGTCAATCGAAGCTTCTAAGCTTATTACCGCACGATGTATGATGGCTACATTGGAGAGGCTCTACAAGACAAACAGCTTCAAACAAAAGCCGGCAACCCCAAAGTCCCTAACTATGGCAGAGTTGCACAATGGGTGTTAGATTGGATTGATACCAAAACGCCGGAGGATATCAAGAAAGCATTTCAGCTTTGCGGGCTTGTAGCTAAGTCGGCGTTTAGTTTGGCTAACCTGTATCCTCCACTTCGGGAGTTGTTGAGCCCATCCATGAACATGTACGACTGGCACCAACAATATCAGCATATTGTCGACGCGACGGATGAACGCGAGGAACTTTGTATCTCAACACCAGGCTGGTATATCCCAGAAGACACACGGACGAGTCTGTTTTGCTGTCTTCGTCGTAGTCTCGGTGCTTCAGACTCTGACTACGTTGTATCTCTGACGGAGTATATGCAAAACCTAAATGACCTGACCGGACTGTTCGACGACGAGTACATTGCGTCGTTAAGAAGTGGTGAACTTGCGCCTGGAGAGCTCGAGCTATTTGCTGCATCTCGCATGCACGATTGCGATATTGAAGTCGTCACTCTTAACAACGAATGCAGAGTTATCTCGAAGTACACGTACACTGTAGAGTGCGCCGCCCGAGACATTTGCATAGCACGAATTGGGCCACTTTTTACCTTGAAGCTCGACGGACTCCATCTATAGATCGCCTGCTCATGTCGCTCTTCTGACTTTTAGTTTATCTCTGCATTTGAGCGCCTAGGCTGTATACATGAATAAAACGCCCATGGGGCTCTCTATTTTAGTTGAACGCTTAGGCGTCTAGTGCGCGGTAAGACGGTAGCTATTATTGGTATGCTTACAAGTCCGCGAACCTTAAAGAATGTGCGAAATTTCCATATTTCGGTGGTTTTCATTGCTAATGATACAATACTGATTTCAGTGATCATAAATATCATTATTAATGCTTAAAGAATTATGTCAATATTTAGACACCACAAGTAGTACTTTTCATCTGTCTGCACTGTATCAAATATCCTCACCTGCAATATTACGTTACACTTGACACCCCTTCTCTGTCACACCCACCCAGGATCATTCGAGGTACCTCAAACTTCGAGCTATTCCAGCAGCTTGAGCTCTGTATTCACCGGAAAGCTCGAGATCCTACATTGTATCGTACTATATTATTTGATTCGCACGGTACGATCATCAATTGGTTTTCAATTTTGACTAATGATCAACGCTTGTTAATTGCGCTGGAACCGATCATAGTAGCATTACTACACAATTTATTATAAAGTACAGATGAGCCCTTCGGTAGTAATCCCTGACCCTCGACAAGTATAAAATATCTGTTCAGCCTAAGATAAAAATACCTCACCCCTCCCTCGGAATATGGAAAACATAATTACAGGTAACCAAACATGACTGTTCGAGCGTGCTTAACTATGGGAAAGTCACTATTGTGCAGCACATCTAAAGTAGACACTTGTTGCTTGCACCCTTCCTTCAGGCTTAGCTCATCTCACAGCTCTCTGCATTACTCTGCATCGCTCTAAGCCCCTATTCACTTTGCTCGAATAAGCAGCTTTGCGGTCCACTTTAAGTTGCTCCTCTATCCGCTGAATTGAGCTCTACTTAATCATTCTTTGCTTCGCCCCCAGTAGTCTCGGAGGCATTCATCGAGCTATTACTCGCGGGAACGTCTTCCACCTCGACGCCGCAGAACTATCAATCAATGGAGCCGTCGTACACGTTCTCATCTGGTCCCGTCATCGACCTTGTTTCGGCCGCATGTAGGCGCGAGAGCATTGCATCTAGCTCGTCGGTCATGCGGACCTCCTCCTGTATTCAAACGCATAGTAATCGAGTAGACCGGTGTGTCTCGAATCAATTAAAAAAAATCGATGCCTTCTTACGTTTCAATAGCTTAGATATTGTTCCTTAAGATGGCGCTGTTGCAGCGACAAAGCTGAATGGGCCCACTCGGCTAGCTGTTGTTGAAAAAGGTTTGGGTGGGTAGCATTATGCTGGCAAAGTTGCAAGCGCTGAGCATTGGTGAGCATGGTGCGGGTTGAGAGAGAGACTGGGAGGATCGCAAACGCAAGGAATGGTAGCGTGAGCTTGTTCGGTTGGCTTACATGTATATAATTTCATAGGTATACCTGGCTGAGCCACCCCACAGCAAGAATACCCTCAGCTATGAATAAAAATTTGGTACATGGGGCTATACCTTTCGCAATCATTTTGTCAAATCTCGGTGAAACCACTGAAATATCTACTCTGGCGAATCTTTCTCAACCACTGAGGGAAAATGAAAAATCCACAGAATCCGTGAGATGGTGAAAAAATAGCTTTCTTTATTTATTATAGAGGGCGGTAGTGAGCGGCGTAGCCGAAGGCGAAGCAGGGCCACTCGGTATTTGCGTAGGCGGGCCTCGACGAGCTCACCAGCGAACGGACCCGTCGCACTCTCCAGCACGCCTAAAAGAACCGAACCAGAACCACGGTTCTGATAATTACTCAGAACCCCTAAGAATCAGGAACTGGGTTCTGGGCTCGGAGTTTCAAATGCGAAAGGACAAGTACTGCGACCTTTCAGCAAGAACCATTGACAGGTTCTTTTTTGCGAGCAACTTTTGGACAGTTGCTATTTGAAACTGAGCCTAAAGGTTGAAGTTTCACATTTTGGGCTCAGTAAGAACTGATACATGTATGTGTATCGGTAATACTGGTTCATACCGAATCCGTCTGAAACCAAGAACTGAATTAAAGGCGGTAATTGGTTCCTAGCCGGTAAGTTCATTCAAGTCGTACTCTCCAGTTATTGTAGCGGCAGAAAATGAAGGGGCTAGTAATCAAATCCCCATGGGGTGCTCAATTTTGATAAAACCAGATATGATATTTAGATATGTGATAAAACCGCCCATTTTGAGTATGATTTTGGTGTTAAAACCGGCTAATTCGCAGAAGTTTTGGCGCTACAGGCTCCCCAAAAAGGTGTCTCCAAGGACCTTTAAACGGGGAAACAGTTGCTATAATGCTGATATTCTATTGGTCAAGAGTGTGGAAAGGGCAAAACAGTTGTACAAACAGGCGTTAAAAATAAAACGCTCAAATTTAAAAAGAAGGATTTGTATATATTTAAAGAGTGATTACCCACCATCTTCCTCATGAGCTTCTTGTGGATGGTACATTCTACTAGCGAAAGCATAAAATTGTAAGATTTTCATATGATATCACAACGGAGCAGTTTTAACCCTACATGGGCCAAAACGACAAGCGCACCTCGGCGAAATTGGTGTCTGGGTCGAGGTTCCATGCCCAGAGCACCCGAAAAACTGTGCTTTTCCCAAGGCGCGTCGCCTCTTTAGTTCGATCGCGCGAGTCCCACCCTCCACTTCTGCCTGCTTTGGCCTCGGCGACGAAATAATCATATACATTGCAAACTAGGGTTTTCTCGCCCGGACTGAGCTGGTGTCTGCGTTGCACTGCGCTTCCTGAAATGAAAGAGATGAAGAGTCTTAATTTATGGAAGAAGGAACAACGAAACCTCAGCTTTCTATCCGCGCCCTTTGCACTTAATTTAAGGCTATTTTGGTGAAGTTATCGCCGATTATCCAAAGATAATAATTTATTTCGGATTAGCTAGCCCCATCATTTTCTGCCGCTATAATAGTATTTGTTTTTCTATTGCGGGGATAAATCACGAGTTCAGTGGTTTTTTAATGAGCTCCCGACGACTCGTCGACGAGAGCCAGTCTCGCTATCATGGTTGAGGATTCGAGATAAGACCAGGATTTGACGGCCTCGTGCACTGACGAATTGCCAATGAGCAATGCAACCCTTTCTCGTCGTGATAAATTATTATACTTCGAATAATTCATTCAGAATCACGCAACTACATTTGAGATTTTTGTCGTTTCACTCCCAGCTCATGTAGCATCCTCTAGGTGAAATCTACAAACTGAAGAGGATCGTCACAATTTGCTTATGTTAATGGTACATGCATTAATATTAGTATTCGCAACTTCGTGTATTGCAGGGTACCTGCAGAATCCATCCGCCATTAGAAATGATTCTGCAATGGAGCTAGATGCCCGTCAAATATACGAGTAAGTCAACCCGCATCACGCTCACCAATCCTCAGCGCTTGCAGCAACCTATTACAGCAACCGCTAACCGAGTGAGCTTATGCAACCTTGTCATGTCGCTGCCGCAGGTCTAGAGATTCGGGTTCCAGCGCTGGACACAGGGCCAACATGATAAAATCGATGCAGAGAGGACTCGCGCTAAAACAACTTCAGTTTGAGAGCTGTAAGAGGAACTAAGCAAGAATGAAGGGCGCAAGCAGCAAGTGTGCTTGACTCAGTTGGTTGGCAGGCTGAGCCACCCCACGACAAGTCTGGGAATTTTAATAGGAATATACTATTGATTCCCAGCGCTATGTTCAGTACCCGTAGTATTTTAATACGGATTTGGTATTAAAATACCAAATCCGTATAGAGACTCTCTAGTACCGCCGGTACTGTAAAGGAGATTTCTTGTTCGTCCGGCTACTGTACTTGTACGCGTTTGATGACGGTTTTTAGGTGTTGCGTGCTCGGATGCAGCAACAAGCCACAATCTTTTCACTATCCGATTCTCCTGCTGTCTGGCAAGTCGCTCGAAGCCATTCGAAACCTGAAGCATGTCTCTCATCAGCGTTGACCTCCACGCTCTGGCAACGAGCGGCGCGGACTACCTCGCCTCCCTGTACGCTTTAAACGAAAGCAATCCTGGTATTGTGTTCTTGTCGTACGATGCGTCCTTCGCCAATGTCCTGGGCACCACCGCCACCGCAACAAAGATCGCCGATCTAAGCTGGCAGGCGTTCCACGAGGGTGGTGTGTACAACAAGGAAGACAACTCATTATACGTATCATCCAACTACGTTTCGCTCGCGGACAACATCAACGTGACAGTCCTCTCCCTCGACGACTACAGTGTCCACAGCACTCAGCTCCCGGGCCTCGCCATGGCAAACGGTGGATCGACGTACTACCCGCCTGGATCTGATCAAACCGCCACACCTCCGATGCAGGTCTGGTGTGACCAGGGCGACCTCGAGGCCTATGCCAAGCTTCTCGCCGTGAATGTCAACACGAATGAGTCCGAGCCTCTAGTCATCGGCTACAATGGCCGCAACTTCAGTGGCTTGAACGATGTGAGGCAGCACCCGGAGACCGGTGATCTCTGGTTCACAGACCCTGAATATGGTTACCACCAGAAGTTTCGTGCGGAGCCTGAACTGCCAAGGCACATCTACCGCTTTGAGCCCTCGACGGGTATTATCCAGGTTCTCGATGACGGTTTCGTGCAGCTTAATGGAATTGAGTTTTCCCCCGATTACAAGACGCTGTACGTTTCTGACACGGGTGCTCAAGAAGCAGATCTGGATCTCTCTCGCCCGGCCACCATTTACGCGTACGACATTGTCGACAATAAGCGGATCAACAACAAGCGCTTGTTTGCCTTTGCTGACAGCGGAATCCCTGATGGTGTGCACACTGACACTGATGGCAACGTATGGGCTGGCTGCGGCGATGGTGTACACATCTGGAACCCCGAAGGTATTCTACTGGGCAAGATTTATCTGGGCGAGACTTCCAACAATTTCGCTTTTGCTCCAGGCAAGGTGTTTGTTTTCGCCAACGCTAGAGCTTGGGTGGTCGAGGGTATCAACGCACTGGGACGCGAGGTTTGTAAGGACTTCGGTGTTGACAGCGATTCGAGATGCAGCAACAGCACGTCGCCTTAAGTTCCTGTAACGCTTGCATGGTACCTTTTTCGTAATAGATTTTTCGTGTCACAATGTGGGAAAATTCGACTCACTGTGAAGAATCATTCAACCGCATTTTTTTTAAACTAACGAAATGCTCTACTCATTCCTTATTCCACTGGATTTTAAATTTTGTAGTAGTACTATATTTATTATACTATTAATAATATTAACAACAGCTCAAACTTAATTATGATACATGTGTTTCAATATCATAGTGTAAGAAGGCATTATTCAATAATTTTGGCCGATGCTACAGTCCATGCGTCGACTCAGTTTATTTTCCATGTAATACTCCATGTAATGTCCATGTGTCGAAATAAATTACTTACCACTGTTTTTAAAATCCATAGTGAATGGAAGTTGTTAGACCTTCGCAAACGAAAGTCCTCTGACATCTCTCGTACATACCGGTATACAGAAGTCAGGAGGTCAACCATACGCATGAACATTAGGCGGGTCGATTCCAGTTTCAATAGAAATGAGATTGTATTAGTTGCATTATGGCTTGCTACCGTGAAGCACGAAGTGAAGGATGCGGAAGCGTAACAGCGTTAGACCAATCGGAGTTACGTCCAGCGACACACTCTTGTCTACATATCGCCAAAACCTCAACATTACGTAGAATCCGCAGTTGTATCCGTCTGTCTGGATCGGTCCATTGACGGACACAACTTTGAAGTCGTCGCTGAGCGTAGTAGCCAGATCCCACGACATGCGGTCCAGTACGTCCTTGTACGTCTTCAGGTTCATTGAGTCGTAGTACAGGACATCGTTCTGCTTGCCATCCACGATCATTGCACACCAATGCATGTTCCCAAATTTACAGGAATGAGCAGTACATCCGCTTCAGTGAGTAGTTCCTGAACCTTTGTCTTCATTTTTTCACTCATAGATTTCTTCTTCTTTGACGCCGAGGCTGCCTCGACACCGACGATGCGAACGCCGGTGCCCGTCCTGTACAATCTCGCGCAAAAAGCCAAAATCAGCGCATCATTAGCCTATTGGGGCGGCTTGAGACGGTACAGCATCGCGTAGTGGTAATCGTTGCCGTCAATTGGGATGGTATCTTGGGGATAGGCGCGAGCAATGGCCTCTGCCATGCTCTGAAGTGTCGATTGTTGTGCTGCTGGTATGGCGCTGGCTGCATCCTGTGTTAACCATTTGGTAAACGCCATTCCATCATCACACGAACGCTTCACGTTTGCTAAGTATGCCATGGCCTCAATCTGTTCGCGTGAAAATGTTCCGATACCCGCGATGTAGACACACTCGATCTCCGGGTTTTGTCCGTTGCTGTCCATGATTTGTCCAGGTATTGTAGATGTTTCTTCGTCTTTTTGTGTAGTTTGACTCTGGGTGAGTACATCGATGGCTGTTTCATTGGTGTTGCTCACAGGCAGCACGGCAACGCACTTGTCCAACAGTTTGGGTGGAAGTAGGTAGAACGCGTTTTCATTCAGCACAGGCGCACTCTCTCTCTAGTGTACTTGGGTTTCTTGCTACCGGCGTTGTTGTACTTGGTTTGGAGTGGCAGAACACGACGTAGAGTGTCTTGAAGTGGAGGCTTCTCAAGTTGAAGACTGCGCGCAAGTTGTATTAATGTCACCTCTCCAAGACATCTTCTATGGGCTTCTGACTCGTTAAACAACGCTCGTTTCTTCTTGTCGTCTGCTTCTCTCTCCTTTCTGTTCAGCCGGGGCCTACCAGGCTTCGCAGCTTTGGGGTTCAGACGGATGCGCAATCGA